TCTTTAACACGCAGTAAATGGCCGTCCACACCAAGAACAATTACTATATAAACGTGGGTGGCGGGGTCCTCACCACAGCTAATGTCGGCGACAGTGGTGAACGATATCGGTGGGATCACTTTCAGAATTACTTTAACAGTATTGTGGTTTACAACTTATTAAACACTAATTGCAATAATAATTTTACCTGAGAAATGTCTTTGGTGTGAAGTTTGGTCTTTACTTTTTACTACCTTCTTTTTTTTTTTACCAACATAAGAATAAAATATGTCTTTAAAAGACTAAACTCTCATAATGGAACCATTTAACTCATTGTTGGAGAACTTTGTGAACCCTGGTTTTCTTTTTGTTTCTCTGTGCAACAAACAGCAGTAACAGGTGATCAATATACAGTTTCCTTAGCCGCTGACACAGCTGGAGCACGAAGCACAAACGCTTGAGGCCACTGTTTACTTATCATTCATCATTGTGGATGCTCACCTTGTTATTGTTCTTGGTGTGGACAGCTCTTTCAACCACACAACTCAATCTTAAGTTATTGATGTTTAATGAAGCTACTAAAGACTTAAAAACTCAAATCTTTTTATTTTTATCTTTTTCATCTGTAAGTTCGTTAAAAGCCCAAAAATGAACTGATGAAGCCTTTAAGAGAAACACACTTTGCACATTTTCTTTATGATGTCAGATTGTGTGACTCTCACCTCGATACTGATGAATTTTTTTTATTTCTTCCAGGAGGTCGCGGTCTCGGTCACGGAGTCCATACTACCGATACTGAGCTCTGGAAAACATGGATCCTACAGTACTTTAGTACTTTGGCGCACATATTGTGCTACAGAACTTAAATGGAAATATGAAGAGATGGACTGACTGATGGTTGATGAACCCAACTCACAAATCTCCACCTGAACACTATGTTCTGTCTACACAACGTAACATTTTGACTGATACTTTAGTTTTCACTAATGACAAAGCCGATTGGTTTGATCTGATCTTTTTTCATTTCTGCTTCATCTTGTAAAGAGACTGCAGGTTTATTAAATGAGTTCCTGGTTTCTTCTGCATGCTCTTTTTGTTTTCCTCCTCTGCCTGAACTCGTCCGGAGATGTTCGTTTGTGTCCTTACTACTAAGCAATATCTCACCTTTTTACCTCACACTTTCCTCGTGTCATTACGCTCTCCATCTGCCTTTTCCTTTTCTCCGACGCTCACGCTGAGGAGAGATTTTTAACCACTTTCATGAACTGGGTGTACAGGATATTTATACGCATACAATGGAAACTTCTTTATGAAAGCGGAAACAAAGTTCATGTATAAAGTCAAACTCTCCACTGCTCTTTTTATACTCTGTTCTCCGTCAACTGGTTCAACAGCAGCAAATAAACGTCTTTTGGTTCTCAGTAATGTGGAATGTTAAAATACAGAACAACAAATAAATATCACTGAAATTATTTCTTCGTTTTTGTATTTTTTCTATCTTGAATCACCGTGTCACTGAAGGTGTTTGGTTTTGCATTTTGGGCTGCATACCTGCCTGTCTGCTCACCCACTCCCACGCCAGAGATCACATCACCCAAAACCTCCATTGACCCCTCATTCAACAAAGAATACAGTTCATATTTCTCTTTGTCACCTACAAAGTCCTCCACAACCTCACCGACCTCCTACCAGCAACCTCAGATCCACTCCGTCCTCAGCCCTCTCACCTGGTCCAAGCACTGGGACCTGGGGGGTAGCCCCTTCTCCATTGCTGCTCCCACCCTCTAGATCCTCAGACATCCTCCCTCACTCCCATCTATTTAAATCTACTTTTAATCTGTAATCTTTTATTGCTCCACTTGTTTTTTTATACTGTTTTTAGTTGTTTTTTACTTATTGGCTTTTTGTTACCTTTTAACGGGCATTTGAGTACATGTTAAATATTATTATTAGTATTACTTTAAATATTTTATGAAATATTGATCACAAAAACGTAATGTGATGTAATGTCTTTGAGAGGTTGCAGGATATTATTTCTGCCAGGAGGTGGCGACAAATCTCTATTTCCAGCGAGAGATGCTTCACTGCGGCTTCTTGTCACTTCACTGTCATTCTGTAGCTTTTGAAGCGTTTTCCGAGTATTTGCTATGTCTTTATGGCTCTATATCAGTCACAGCTGCTCAAGAAGAAAAGCAGAAATGAGTGTGTGTCTCCC